GTTCCTAATTTATCTCATAAGTTGTGACAACTGACTGTCTCTCAAATCTTTATCCCTAAAAAAACCACCACCGGTTTTATCAAGGGAGATTAAAGTTGCATATTTTTCGCAGGTTGTATATGATTTTTTGGCGTGCGAATCAACTTCAGTCGTTTTGCACATGATACGCAGGACTCATTACCTAATTCAGAAGCATTAGGACAGACTTGATTGCAGAGCGTGAAAGTATTATTGCGATACATTAATTTTTTGATTGGGTCCATAAGTTTTAGGTGCGACTCTTTGTAACTATTTGTAACTTCCACTGGTACTTCTTCAGTGTAGAAAGCTGTTTCGGCGAATTTGACTTGTATTTTGCACATTAAAAAATCTACAAAATGCCCCAGCTTTTTCAGAGTGGTAACCTCGAGGCAATTTTTTTTCTTTATTAAAGTTTTCTCTGCTTCCGGTTTCTTTTGCTAAATGCCAAATACTTTTATTTATGTTTTCATTGGTTAAAAACTCCCAGGTGAAAAACATTTTTAGTTCAATTTGATTTACATCTTTACTGGTTAATCTCTTGAAGTTTACTGACAAATCAAATGTGGTTTTCTCAGCTGTGAAAGATACGGAAAGGTAGTTCCTTTTATTCCCACTGAATAATGGTTTGATTTCTGAAAACTTCAATAGCGAAAAACCACTTTTTACGGAAATTTCAGTTTGCCCTGAAAGGTAATTACTATTCTTTGTTGCCAAGAGCGAAGCGCTAATTGAGTTCGAAAATTTTGCTAACAAAATTACTGGACCTCCCGTTGTTTTCACATCGATAATGTACGTTACCTAACCAAGTTCGAAACTCTTGCTCACCCCTTTCTAACTTGTGTCATTCCTGTTGGGTTCTCAAAAACCTACAAAATACCAATACCTACGATTTTTATTTGTGCATTCAATGTCCCAATGGTTAATTCATCATTGTTTAGAACTGAGCCGATAATGTTTTTATCAGTTGGCGAAGATCACTCCACTGGATATACATATTTGACACCTCTTTTGTTCACCTCATGAAAGCTTTTGCTAATTTTACTTTGAAACTATTTGAACACTCTGATGCTAACATGCTAACCACTTTCCCCAGAGGTATAGTAATATCCTCGTTTCCGAAGCCTGGAAATTTAACCGTTTTTGTGTCCCATTTTTTCTCAAGCTTGCAATAAGCTTGGAATTATCATGCAGGTATGTTGCTTAACCCCATCAGCTGCTTTTCTGAGGAAGAAGCTTGGAATATTCATGCAGCTATGTTGCATAATCCCACCAGCTGCTTTTATTAAGTGCCGTGACTGAATATGACGCCAAATACATGCAATACTTCTGCCTGACTTCTGATGCTACCGGTTTATACATTAAGACCCAGTTTTTAAGCGTATCTGGTTTCCGTTTTGTTTGAGCGCAATCGCTATTTTTGCTCAAGGATTTTGTTTCAGACTCAAAAAATCTGTTCAAAATCGTGTGCGATTGAAATGTCGCCAGATAGTTCTCCTAAGCTCACTCGGTTTTCTAGTATTGTACAGTTTGTTACCTTTCGTTCCATTTAGTAACTCATAATTAACATCACTAACAGGTTTAGCTGCTTTAGATTCTGATCCGGTTTTTGCTTTTCTCTTAACGGTATCTTCGGGCCTGTTCTGCTTCCTACGCTTCGTCTTGGTTTGTCGGTGGGTCTATTTGGTTGAGTCTCTGTAACTTCTGATGTGGCAATCGGTTCTTTGATGTCCAATTCTTCCGTGGGAGCACTGAACTTTTTTTTTTCGGTTTTAACTGTTTCTCCTTCCGGCGTAGACCGACTATGAGATTCTATTTTCGAGTTAGGGAACTCCACAACTACAAAAACGTTTTATTATTCATCCGTTTCTTTGGTTGCATTTAGTTTCTTTCATCCCGCTTCCTGAGAGTTTACTTTTGTTCGTTCATGAAAAGCCTTTAACTTATCATGCGGAACTGTGTGCTGTTTCTTAGATCTTTGGTCTTCAATCACAAAATTTAGATCACTTACAGTCTTTATGATTATCAGTGGTCCGTTATAGAACGAATTAAATTTCTTTGTCTGTCCCTCGCAAAGGGTTTGGTTAAAAAGTTGTACTTTTTCGTTCACGTTATACTTAGGTCAGATTTGTTTTTCCTCGTAGAAAATCTTTTCCTGTTCTTTTTCGACGTTCATTGTATTACGCACCAGTTCGTGGCTGGTTTGGAGTTCCTTCCTCAGGTCTCTGACGTAATCGTTGGCGTTGCAAACACTTTAGTTTGTGATGTTTTGTACATGCAATCTATCGGCACGATGAAGTAATACGGATTATATTTTGTCACTGCATGAATTGAAGATTTGTAAGCCATCATAACTGTTTGAAGAAGATTGGCCTAGTCATTGTGGTTTTTTTGGCACATATTTAGACAAGACTGCTTCGATTGCTCTGTTGCTTTTTTCAATCAGTTTGTGCCCCTGCAGATTAGCTGGGCATTCAAAGCTTGAAATTCAATTGTCGACCAATGCCTTAGCTACTGTCTTTGCTAATTTGTTTTGAAGTGATAACGCTTCGTACCAATTTGAGAATTGATTTCCGATTACAATAATATACTTGAATTCTTCTGATTCCAGTAGCGGTCCCATGATAGCGATCGCTACATGCCAAAACGGATAGCTTGGTTTCAATATCTGCAGTGAATTTTCATTTTTCTGGCTAGGTTTCTTCTTTGTTGTGCGCTTTTCACAGCTATTAACCCAATCTCCAATATCCCGACTCATTCCAGTCCAGTAAAACTATTCTTGAGTATACTGAAAAGTCTTTAATTAAACAAAATGAACACAATATTTATGTAGCGAAATGAGCATTTCCTACATGAACACTGGAGTCACAACAATTCTTTGGACTACGATGTACTGTTCTTTGATCAGTTTCTGTCTTTTTAGTAAGTCTTTTTCAAAAAACAATTTTTTGAAATCTGTCCAAAATTTCCATAAAGTTTTTGAGGAGCCACTCGTTTGCCTTTTCTCTGGCCTCTCCTTGTTTTGCACACAGCTTTTTGTCGTTCTTATTTCACTAGATTTCAGTTGAACCGTTTTTAATTCCAAATTGGAAGATTTTAGGGCTTCTTCTCAGATATTTTTCGAAATATCTGTTGTTTTTTGTGATTGATTAACCATCTCCTCAGTGGTAGTTGGAACCCTTGATAAACAGTCTGCATGTGGAATTTTCTTGCCCACCTCGAGCTTAATTTCGAATGGGAACTGCCCTAGTTTTTCCAACCATCTAGCTATCATACTGTCTGGCTCTTTGAAGCTTTAGAGCAACATTAAGGCTCTGTGATCAGTAACTAATAAAAAAATTTGTCACAACAGTTAATCCGGAAATAATGCGTGAAGTGTACGATTGCGTATAGTTCCCTTTTGGTTGAAAAGTAATTGTGTTGTCCATTATTCAGCGTTTTGCTGGTGTACGCAATAACTCAATTTCTACCTTGCTGCTTTTGTGTCAATATGGCTGCTATCTCAGTTAATGAAGCATCCGTTTTTAGGCTATACATACCTTCATCAATTGAATATCCCAGTATTGGTGCTTTCTGCAGTTTCTTTTCAATGCTTCCTTTCAATGCTCTTATTAAGAAGTTTATAGAGTGGTTCAGCAGTCTTTCCAAACCCTTCAATAAATTTTCCGTAGATTCAAATGAGTTCTATTACCGCCCGCATTTGTTGATATTGTGAGGATCTTTCTTGTATTACAGTGAGTTTATCTTTTCCGGATCAAATTCTACGCCGTTGTTCGACAAAATATGCTCAAGAAAATGAATTTTAGTTTAAAAGAACCTGCCTTTTGTTCTAATTAATTTTAAATCAGCTTTATTCAGTCGACACAAAATAACGTCCAAACTCTCTAGTTGTTCTTGAAATGTTCTACCAGAGGTTATAATGTCGTCTAGGTAGACCAAAGCAATTTCGTATGATAACCCACTTTGTATCAACTCCATTAAATTTTGAAATGCTCCTGGCGCGGAGAGCCATCGGTAGACCTTTGCTTTTAAAGAGACCCATTGGCGTTATAAAGGCAGTAAGATGTTGGGAGTCTTCTCTTAGCGCCATTTAAAAACAACCAGAAATTAAGTGAATGTGGGAAAAGATCATGTTATCATCCAATGAGTCAACGACATCACTTACCTTTGGTAGGGACCAGCTTACTCTTTTGATCTGACCGTTCAGTCTTCTGTAATCAACTACTAACCTGTGGGTTCCCTCTTTGTTCTCAACAAGTATGGTTGGTATTGCACAATTCGAGTGAGTTGGTTCAACTAGTAGTTCGCTTTTTCTAAATCCTCCCAGATCTTTTTCATGGCATTCCACTTTTCATAATTCATACTTCCTATGCCGAAATGGCTTTGCATCAGCGATTAATTTTATTTTATGTCTAACTTTATCCAAAAACTTGAGTCCGTTGAGCTGCATGAAAAAGAACTGGTTATGTTTCTCAAACATTATCTGCAAACTTGTCTTTTCCTCAGATGCCAATTGTGCACTGCCCCGAGTAGCGTGTTGCCTAATTCAAAGGGCTCCTGATGCTGCGGTCGTTCCTTGCTCTAAAGAACCCGTTTACTTGAATCTGATGTCTCAAATTGGTATAATGAGCAGTGTTGCTGTCATGGTATATGTTAATAGCTTCATTTCGCATGTTCAGTACATTCAAGCAACTTTTCCCTTGGCTTACACTTGTAAGTGAATCAGCTACCAGTAGTCCGGTTTTTCCTTTGAGTTCCTGTATGCCTTCATTTAAACCTTATGGGCTGCTGAGGGCTGTACCATTTTCATCTTTGATGAAGATTTCTACTAGTTTTTCTTGTCTGCTTGGGAATCTTGCATTCTTCTCTGCTATTGCAAACGTTCGGACACCAGTCGTTGTTTCTGCTGAGATAGGTAGTGCTGTCCGATGTTTCGTACGTTACAGCAATTGTTCGCCAATTTCTTCGATCATGAAACCCCAACCAAGAAGGCATGGTAAGCAGTTATCAGCCGTTATTAAAATGTTTCGGGCGATATCTCCGGATTTTGGTTTCATTTGGATTTTGATGTCGACACTGCCAAGTTTTTGAAACATTGAACTGTTAGCCGCTAACACTTTACTGTTAAAAGCCTTTATGCTTCCCGGCTTTCCAAGCCGCTCATACGTGTCAAAACTAACGAACGAAATGCTACTCCCGATTTCCCGTTCAATAGTAAGCCCACACTGAAACATTTCGATTTGTTTTTGGAGCACACCCTGGTCACGTTGGTTCGTTCCGTCCTTTTATTCTTAGGGCATTTTCGCTTAACGTGGATAGGTTTTCCACCAGTAAAACAATTACTACAGTTCTTTGCCCAATGACCCTTTTGCCCACATAGTCAACATATGTCATTGTGGTTTTCCCTTCTCGGATTGCCATTTCTTTCTCGCGTTTTTGGTCCTGAGGTTGGAGTTCTTGCTCCATCTCTTGAAACTTGCTCCGTATATCGGTTTCCATTGCGTCGCATTCCTCCCCAGGGGTTGTTGTCTCGTCGACCATGGGTTTATTTTTATTACCAACCGACATCTTCTGAACTGGTCTGTTCATCGAGTCCGTTAGCATTTCTGTCTGATCCCTCCGTATGGCTGTTATTCGGGGCGTTTGTTCTTTTTCCTCAATTCCAATTACGGCTCCCAGATGAAGTGCGCACTCTAAAGCATTCGCCTTGTTCATTTCCTTGTCTCCAATTGTCTTGCGAAACCGTAGGATTGAGTCTAACTTGGCTGTTGTGGATTCCTTCGAGAAGCACTAGCAGGTCTCTTATGTCCTGAGATTTGTCAAATGTTGTAATTCACCCAGTAAATCTGTTAACTTTTCACCTGCCTGCTGCGCGCGACGCTCTAGCCGACCGCGGAAGACCACCGGTTTTTCAATGTAATGAATTTGAAAAACTTTAACGGTCTCATCATAGCTGAGAAGGTTAAGTAGCCTCTGGGAGGGTACGGTAAGTAGCCTCTTGAAGCCTTTGGAAGGGTACGGTAAAAGGCGAAATAATGCAAAAAAAAATTCTGTTTTTCGTGCTGTACGTTTCCAGTTTTGCAGTTCGGCTAATAGCTCAAAATGTGTTGAGTAGCTTTCAATATCGTTAGGACCGGTGAATGCCTCCGGCAATATTGTTTTGGATACCGAACTTGCCGTTGCCATACATTACTATCACCCTGTTTACTTTCTTATCTAGTTTTCCCTGTGGTTGGAATTTTTCTAGGTTTTACCCGCTGATTTCAGCTTAAAATAATCTTTAATGTCCCTCCAACTACAGTTTATGCTCTTTTTTCAGAGAAATTTGTTATTCACCTCAATTTTCAGAAGCATTAGGACAGACTTTTTGCAGAGCGTGAGAGTATTATTGCAATAGATTAATTTTTTGATTGGGTAAATAAATTTTAGGTGCGACTCTTTGTAATTATTTGTAACTTCCACTGGTACTTTTTCAGTGTAGAAAGCTGTTTCGGCGAATTTGACGAAATTTTCTTTATTAAAATTTTTCTCCGATTCCGGTTTCTTTTGCTAAATGCCAAATATTTTTTTCTATGTTTTCATTGGTTAAAAACTCCCAGGTGAAAAACATTTTTAGTTCAATTTGTTTTACATCTTTACTGGTTAATCTCTTGAAGTTTACTGACAAATCAAATGTGGTTTTCTCAGCTGTGAAAGATACGGAAAGGTGGTTCCTTTTATTCCTACTGAATAAGGGTTTGATTTCTGAAAACTTCAATAGCGAAAAACCACTTTTTACGGAAATTTCAATTTGCCCTGAAAGGTAATTACTATTCTTTGTTGCCAAGAGCAAAGAGCTAATTGAGTTCGAAAATTTTGCTAACGAAATTACTGGACCTCCCGTTATTTTCACATCGATAATGTACGTTACCTAACCAAATTCGAAACTCTTGTTCCCCCCTTTCTAACTTGTGCCATTCCTGTTGGGTTCTCAAAAACCTACAAACTACCAATAGCTACGATTTTTATTTGTGCATTCAATGTCCCAATGGTTAATTCATCATTGTTTAGAACTGAGCCGATAATGTTTTTATCAGTTGGCGAAGATCACTCCACTGGATATACATATTTGACACCTCTTTTGTTCACCTCATGAAAGCTTTTGCTAATTTTACTTTGAAACTATTTGAACACTCTGATGCTAACATGCTAACCACTTTCTCCAGAGGTATAGTAATATCCTCGTTTCCGAAGCCTGGAAATTTAACCGTTTTTGTGTCCCATTTTTTCTCAAGCTTGCAATAAGCTTGGAATTATCATGCAGGTATGTTGCTTAACCCCATCAGCTGCTTTTCTTAGGAAGAAGCTTGGAATATTCATGCAGCTATGTTGTATAATCCCACCAGCTGCTTTTATTAAGTGCCGTGACTGAATATGACGCCAAATACATGCAATACTTCTGCCTGACTTCTGATGCTACCGGTTTATACATTAAGACCCAGCTTTTAAGCGTATCTGGTTTCCGTTTTGTTTGAGCGCAATCGCTATTTTTGCTCAAGGATTTTGTTTCAGACTCAAAAAATTTGTTCAAAATCGTGTGCGATTGAAATGTCGCCAGATAGTTCTCCTAAGCTCACTCGGTTTTCTAGTATTGTACAGTTTGTTACCTTTCGTTCCATTTAGTAACTCATAATTAACATCACTAACAGGTTTAGCTGCTTTAGATTCTGATCCGGTTTTTGCTTTTCTCTTAACGGTATCTTCGGGCCTGTTCTGCTTCCTACGCTTCGTCTTGGTTTGTCGGTGGATCTATTTGGTTGAGTCTCTGTAACTTCTGATGTGGCAATCGGTTCTTTGATGTCCAATTCTTCCGTGGGAGCACTGAACTTTTTTTTTCGGTTTTAACTGTTTCTCCTTCCGGCGTAGACCGACTATGAGATTCTATTTTCGAGTTAGGGAACTCCACAACTACAAAAACGTTTTATTATTCATCCGTTTCTTTGGTTGCATTTAGTTTCTTTCATCCCGCTTCCTGAGAGTTTACTTTTGTTCGTTCATGAAAAGCCTTTAACTTATCATGCGGAACTATTTGCTGTTTCTTAGATCTTTGGTCTTCAATCACAAAATTTAGATCACTTACAGTCTTTATGATTATCAGTGGTCCGTTATAGAACGAATTAAATTTCTTTGTCTGTCCCTCGCAAAGGGTTTGGTTAAAAAGTTGTACTTTGTCGTTCACGTTATACTTAGGTCAGATTTGTTTTTCCTCGTAGAAAATCTTTTCCTGTTCTTTTTCGACGTTCATTGTATTACGCACCAGTTCGTGGCTGGTTTGGAGTTCCTTCCTCAGGTCTCTGACGTAATCGTTGGCGTTGCAAACACTTTAGTTTGTGATGTTTTGTACATGCAATCTATCGGCACGATGAAGTAATACGGATTATATTTTGTCACTGCATGAATTGAAGATCTGTAAGCCATCATAACTGTTTGAAGAAGATTGGCCTAGTCATTGTGGTTTTTTTGGCACATATTTAGACAAGACTGCTTCGATTGCTCTGTTGCTTTTTTCAATCAGTTTGTGCCCCTGCAGATTAGCTGGGCATTCAAAGCTTGAAATTCAATTGTCGACCAATGCCTTAGCTACTGTCTTTGCTAATTTGTTTTGAAGTGATAACGCTTCGTACCAATTTGAGAATTGATTTCCGATTACAATAATATACTTGAATTCTTCTGATTCCAGTAGCGGTCCCATGATAGCGATCGCTACATGCCAAAACGGATAGCTTGGTTTCAATATCTGCAGTGAATTTTCATTTTTCTGGCTAGGTTTCTTCTTTGTTGTGCGCTTTTCACAGCTATTAACCCAATCTCCAATATCCCGACTCATTCCAGTCCAGTAAAACTATTCTTGAGTATACTGAAAAGTCTTTAATTAAACAAAATGAACACAATATTTATGTAGCGAAATGAGCATTTCCTACATGAACACTGGAGTCACAACAATTCTTTGGACTACGATGTACTGTTCTTTGATCAGTTTCTGTCTTTTTAGTAAGTCTTTTTCAAAAAACAATTTTTTGAAATCTGTCCAAAATTTCCATAAAGTTTTTGAGGAGCCACTCGTTTGCCTTTTCTCTGGCCTCTCCTTGTTTTGCACACAGCTTTTTGTCGTTCTTATTTCACTAGATTTCAGTTGAACCGTTTTTAATTCCAAATTGGAAGATTTTAGGGCTTCTTCTCAGATATTTTTCGAAATATCTGTTGTTTTTTGTGATTGATTAACCATCTCCTCAGTGGTAGTTGGAACCCTTGATAAACAGTCTGCATGTGGAATTTTCTTGCCCACCTCGTGCTTAATTTCGAATGGGAACTGCCCTAGTTTTTCCAACCATCTAGCTATCATACTGTCTGGCTCTTTGAAGCTTTAGAGCAACATTAAGGCTCTGTGATCAGTAACTAATAAAAAGATTTGTCACAACAGTTAGTCCGGAAATAATGCGTGAAGTGTACGATTGCGTATAGTTCCCTTTTGGTTGAAAAGTAATTGTGTTGTCCATTATTCAGCGTTTTGCTGGTGTACGCAATAACTCAATTTCTACCTTGCTGCTTTTGTGTCAATATGGCTGCTATCTCAGTTAATGAAGCATCCGTTTTTAGGCTATACATACCTTCATCAATTGAATATCCCAGTATTGGTGCTTTCTGCAGTTTCTTTTCAATGCTTCCTTTCAATGCTCTTATTAAGAAGTTTGTAGAGTGGTTCAGCAGTCTTTCCAAACCCTTCAATAAATTTTCCGTAGATTCAAATGAGTTCTATTACCGCCCGCAGTTGTTGATATTGTGAGGATCTTTCTTGTATTACAGTGAGTTTATCTTTTCCAGATCAACTTCTACGCCGTTGTTCGACAAAATATGCCCAAGAAAATGAATTTTAGTTTAAAAGAACCTGCCTTTTGTTCTAATTAATTTTAAATCAGCTTTATTCAGTCGACCCAAAATAACGTCCAAACTCTCTAGTTGTTCTTGAAATGTTCTACCAAAGGTTATAATGTCGTCTAGGTAGACCAAAGCAATTTCGTATGTTAACCCACTTTGTATCAACTCCATTAAATTTTGAAATGCTCCTGGCGCGGAGAGCCATCGGTAGACCTTTGCTTTTAAAGAGACCCATTGGCGTTATAAAGGCAGTAAGATGTTGGGAGTCTTCTCTTAGCGCCATTTAAAAACAACCAGAAATTAAGTGAATGTGGGAAAAGATCATGTTATCATCCAATGAGTCAACGACATCACTTACCTTTGGTAGGGACCAGCTTACTCTTTTATCTGACCGTTCAGTCTTCTGTAATCAACTACTAACCTGTGGGTACCCTCTTTGTTCTCAACAAGTATGGTTGGTATTGCACAATTCGAGTGAGTTGGTTCAACTAGTAGTTCGCTTTTTCTAAATCCTCCCAGATCTTTTTCATGGCATTCCACTTTTCATAATTCATACTTCCTATGCCGAAATGGCTTTGCATCAGCGATTAATTTAATTTTATGTCTAACTTTATCCAAAAACTTGAGTCCGTTGAGCTGCATGAAAAAGAACTGGTTATGTTTCTCAAACATTATCTGCAAACTTGTCTTTTCCTCAGATGCCAATTGTGCACTGCCCCGAGTAGCGTGTTGCCTAATTCAAAGGGCTCCTAATGCTGCGGTCGTTCCTTGCTCTAAAGAACCCGTTTACTTGAATCTGATGTCTCAAATTGGTATAATGAGCAGTGTTGCTGTCATGGTATATGTTAATAGCTTCATTTCGCATGTTCAGTACATTCAAGCAACTTTTCCCTTGGCTTACACTTGTAAGTGAATCAGCTACCAGTAGTCCGGTTTTTCCTTTGAGTTCCTGTATGCCTTCATTTAAACCTTATGGGCTGCTGAGGGCTGTACCATTTTCATCTTTGATGAAGATTTCTACTAGTTTTTCTTGTCTGCTTGGGAATCTTGCATTCTTCTCTGCTATTGCAAACGTTCGGACACCAGTCGTTGTTTCTGCTGAGATAGGTAGTGCTGTCCGATGTTTCGTACTGTACAGCAATTGTTCGCCAATTTCTTCGATCATGAAACCCCAACCAAGAAGGCATGGTAAGCAGTTATCAGCCGTTATTAAAATGTTTCGGGCGATATCTCCGGATTTTGGTTTCATTTGGATTTTGATGTCGACACTGCCAAGTTTTTGAAACATTGAACTGTTAGCCGCTAACACTTTACTGTTAAAAGCCTTTATGCTTCCCGGCTTTCCAAGCCGCTCATACGTGTCAAAACTAACGAACGAAATGCTACTCCCGATTTCCCGTTCAATAGTAAGCCCACACTGAAACATTTCGATTTGTTATTGGAGCACACCCTGGTCACGTTGGTTCGTTCCGTCCTTTTATTCTTAGGGCATTTTCGCTTAACGTGGATAGGTTTTCCACCAGTAAAACAATTACTACAGTTCTTTGCCCAATGACCCCTTTGCCCACATAGTCAACATATGTCATTGTGGTTTTCCCTTCTCGGATTGCCATTTTTTTCTCGCGTTTTTGGTCCTGAGGTTGGAGTTCTTGCTCCATCTCTTGAAACTTGCTCCCTATATCGGTTTCCATTGCGTCGCATTCCTCCCCAGGGGTTGTTGTCTCGTCGACCATGGGTTTATTTTTATTACCAACCGACATCTTCTGAACTGGTCTGTTCATCGAGTCCGTTAGCATTTCTGTCTGATCCCTCCGTATGGCTGTTATTCGGGGCGTTTGTTCTTTTTCCTCAATTCCAATTACGGCTTCCAGATGAAGTGCGCACTCTAAAGCATTCGCCTTGTTCATTTCCTTGTCTCCAATTGTCTTGCGAAGCCGTAGGATTGAGTCTAACTTGGCTGTTGTGGATTCCTTCGAGAAGCACTAGCAGGTCTCTTATGTCCTGAGATTTGTCAAATGTTGTAATTCACCCAGTAAATCTGTTAACTTTCCACCTGCCTGCTGCGCGCGACGCTCTAGCCGACCGCGGAAGACCACCGGTTTTTCAATGTAATGAATTTGAAAAACTTTAACGGTCTCATCATAGCTGAGAAGGTTAAGTAGCCTCTGGGAGGGTACGGTAAGTAGCCTCTTGAAGCCTTTGGAAGGGTACGGTAAAAGGCGAAATAATGCAAAAAAAAATTCTGTTTTTCGTGCTGTACGTTTCCAGTTTTGCAGTTCGGCTAATAGCTCAAAATGTGTTGAGTAGCTTTCAATATCGTTAGGACCGGTGAATGCCTCCGGCAATATTGTTTTGGATACCGAACTTGCCGTTGCCATACATTACTATCACCCTGTTTACTTTCTTATCTAGTTTTCCCTGTGGTTGGAATTTTCTAGGTTTTACCCGCTGATTTCAGCTTAAAATAATCTTTAATGTCCCTCCAACTACAGTTTATGCTCTTTTTTCAGAGAAATTTGTTATTCACCTCAATTTTCAGAAGCATTAGGACAGACTTTTTGCAGAGCGTGAGAGTATTATTGCAATAGATTAATTTTTTGATTGGGTAAATAAATTTTAGGTGCGACTCTTTGTAATTATTTGTAACTTCCACTGGTACTTTTTCAGTGTAGAAAGCTGTTTCGGCGAATTTGACGAAATTTTCTTTATTAAAATTTTTCTCCGATTCCGGTTTCTTTTGCTAAATGCCAAATATTTTTTTCTATGTTTTCATTGGTTAAAAACTCCCAGGTGAAAAACATTTTTAGTTCAATTTGTTTTACATCTTTACTGGTTAATCTCTTGAAGTTTACTGACAAATCAAACGTGGTTTTCTCAGCTGTGAAAGATACGGAAAGGTGGTTCCTTTTATTCCTACTGAATAAGGGTTTGATTTCTGAAAACTTCAATAGCGAAAAACCACTTTTTACGGAAATTTCAATTTGCCCTGAAAGGTAATTACTATTCTTTTTTGCCAAGAGCAAAGAGCTAATTGAGTTCGAAAATTTTGCTAACGAAATTACTGGACCTCCCGTTATTTTCACATCGATAATTTACGTTACCTAACCAAATTCGAAACTCTTGTTCCCCCCTTTCTAACTTGTGCCATTCCTGTTGGGTTCTCAAAAACCTACAAACTACCAATAGCTACGATTTTTATTTTTGCATTCAATGTGCCAATGGTTAATTCACCATTGTTTAAAACTGAGCCGATAATTTTTTTATCAGTTGGCGAAGACCACTCCACTGGATATACATATTTGACACCTCTTTTGATCACCTCATGAAAGCTTTTGCTAATTTTACTTTGAAAATATTTGAACACTCTGATGCTGACATGCTAACCACATTCTCCAGAGGTATAGTAAAATCCGTTTCCAAAGCCTAGAAATTTAACCGTTTTTGTGTCCCATTTTTTCTCAAGCTTGCAATAAGCATGGAATTATCATGCAGGTATGTTGCTTAACCCCACCAGCTGCTTTTCTTAGGAAGAAGCTTGGAATATTCATGCAGCTATGTTGCATAATCCCACCAGCTGCTTTTATTAAGTGCCGTGACTGAATATGACGCCAAATACATGCAATACTTCTGCCTGACTTCTGATGCTACTGGTTTATACATTAAGTCCCAGCTTTTAAGCGGATCTGGTTTCCGTTTTGTTTGAGGCAATCGCTATTTTTGCTCAAGTATTTTGTTTCAGACTCAAAAAATTTGTTCAAAATCGTGTGCGATTGAAATGTCGCCAGATAGTTCTCCTAAGCTCACTCGGTTTTCTAGTATTGTACAGTTTATTACCTTTCGTTCCATTTAGTAACTCATAATTAACATCACTAACAGGTTTAGCTGCTTTAGATTCTGATCCGGTTTTTGCTTTTCTCTTAACGGTATCTTCGGGCCTGTTCTGCTTCCTACGCTTCGTCTTGGTTTGTCGGTGGGTCTATTTGGTTGAGTCTCTGTAACTTCTGATGTGGCAATCGGTTCTTTGATGTCCAATTCTTCCGTGGGAGCACTGAACTTTTTTTCTTTTCGGTTTTAACTGCTTCTCCTTCCGGCGTAGACCGACTAGGAGATTCTAATTTCGAGTTAGGGAACTCCACAACTACAAAAACGTTTTTATTATTCATCCGTTTCTTTGGTTGCATTTAGTTTCTTTCATCCCGCTTCCTGAGAGTTTACTTTTGTTCGTTCATGAAAAGCCTTTAACTTATCATGCTGAACTATTTGCTGTTTCTTAGATCTTTGGTCTTCAATCACAAAATTTAGATCACTTACAGTCTTTATGATTATCAGTGGTCCATTATAGAACGACTTAAATTTCTTTGTCTGTCCCTCGCAAAGAGTTTGGTTAAAAAGTTGTACTTTGTCGTTCACGTTAAACTTAGGTCAATTTTGTTTTTCCCCGTAGAAAATCTTTTCCTGTTCTTTTTCGACGTTCATTGTATTACGCACCAGTTCGTGGCTTGTTTGGAGTTCCTTCCTCAGGTCTCTGACGTAATCGTTGGCGTTGCAAACACTTTAGTTTGTGATGTTTTGTACATGCAATCTATCGGCACGATGAAGTAATACGGATTTTATTTTGTCACTGCATGAATTGAAGATCTGTAAGCCATTATAACTGTTTGAGAGAAGATTGGCCTAGTCATTGTGGTTTTTTTGGCACATATTTAGACAAGACTGCTTCGATTGCTCTGTTGCTTTTTTCAATCAGTTTGTGCCCCTGCAGATTAGCTGGGCATTCAAAGCTTGAAATTTAATTGTCGACCAATGCCTTAGCTACTGTCTTTGCTTCTTTGTTTTGAAGTGGTAACGCTTCGTACCAATTTGAGAATTGATTTCCGATTACAAGAATAAACTTGAATTCTTCTGATTCCAATAGCGGTCCCATGATAGCGATCGCTACATGCCAAAACGGATAGCTTGGTTTCAATGTCTGCAGTGAATTTTCATTTTTCTGGCTAGGTCTCTTCTTTGTTGTGCGCTTTTCACAGCTATTAACCCAATCTTCAATATCCCGACTCATTCCAGGACAGTAAAACTATTCTTGAGTATACTGAAAAGTCTTTTTGTAACCAAAATGAACACAATATTTATGTAGCGAATTGAGCATTTCCTACATGAACACTGGAGTCACAACAATTCTTTGGACTACGATGTACTGTTCTTTGATCAGTTTCTGTCTTTTTTGTAAGTCTTTTTCAAAAAACAATTTTTTGAAATCTGTCCAAAATTTCCATAAAGTTTTTGAGCAGCCACTCGTTTCCCTTTTCTCTGGCCTCTCCTTGTTTTGCACACAGCTTTTTGTCGTTCTTATTTCACTAGATTTCAGTTGAACCGTTTTTAATTCCAAATTGGAAGATTTTAGAGCTTCTTCTCAGATATTTTTCGAATTATCTGTTGTTTTTTGTGATTGATTAACCATCTCCTCAGTGGTAGTTGGAACCCTTGATAAACAGTCTGCATGTGGAATTTTCTTGCCCACCTCGTGCTTAATTTCGAATGGGAACTGCCCTAGTTTTTCCAACCATCTAGCTATCATACTGTCTGGCTCTTTGAAGCTTTAGAGCAACATTAAGGCTCTGTGATCAGTAACTAATAAAAAGATTTGTCACAACAGTTAGTCCGGAAATAATGCGTGAAGTGTACGATTGCGTATAGTTCCCTTTTGGTTGAAAAGTAATTGTGTTGTCCATTATTCAGCGTTTTGCTGGTGTACGCAATAACTCGATTTCTACCTTGCTGCTTTTGTGTCAATATGGCTGCTATCCCAGTTAATGAAGCATCCGTTTTTAGGCTATACATACCTTCTTCATTTGAATATCCCAGTATTGGTGCTTGCTGCAGTTTCTTTTCAATGCTTCCTTGCAAGCTTCATAAAGAAAGAATTTTTCGCTCTTATTAAGAAGTTTGTAGAGTGGTTCAGCTGTCTTTCCAAACCCTTCAATAAACTTTCGGTAGATTCAAATGAGTCCTAATACCGCCCGCAGTTGTTGATATTGTGAGGATCTTTCATGTAGTTCAGTGAGTTTATCTTTTCCGAATCAACTTCTACGCCGTTGTTCGACAAAATATGCCTAAGAAAATGAATTTTTGCTTAAAAGAACCTGCATTTTGTTCTGTTTAATTTTAAATCAGCTTTATTCAGTCGACACAGAATAACGTCCAAACTCTCTAGTTGTTCTTGAAATGTTCTACCAAAGGTTATAATGTCGTCTAGGTAGACCAAAGCAATTTCGTATGATAACCCACTTTGTATCAACTCCATTAAATTTTGAAATGCTCCTGGCCATCGGTAGACTTTTGCTTTTAAAGAGACCCATTGGCGTTATAAAGGCAGTAAGATGTTGGGAGTCTTCTCTTAGCGCCTTCTTTGGTAGGGACCAGCTTACTCTTTTGATCTGACCGTTCAGTCCTCTGTAATCAACTACTAACCTGTGGGTTCCGTCTTTTTTCTCAACAAGTATGGTTGGTATTGCCCAATTCGAGTGAGCTGGTTCAACTAGTAGTTCGCCTTTTCTAAGTCCTCCCAGATCTTTTTCATGGCATTCCACTTTTCATAATTCATACTTCCTATGCCAAAATGGCTTTGCATCAGCGATTAATTTCATTTTATGTCTAATTTTATCCAAAAAACTTGAGTCCGTTGAGCTGCATGAAAAAGAACTGGTTATGTTTCTCAAACATTATCTGCAAACTTGTCTTTTCCTTAGATGCCAATTGTGCACTGCCCCGAGTAGCGTGTTGCCTAATTCAAAGGGCTCCTGATGCTGCGGTCGTTCCTTGCTCTAAAGAAGCCGTTTACTTGAATCTGATGTCTCAAATTGGTATAATGAGCAGTGTTGCTGTCATGGTATATGTTAATAGCTTCATTTCGCATGTTCAGTACATTCAAGCAACTTTTCCCTTGGCTTACACTTGTAAGTGAATCAGCTACCAGTAGTCCGGTTTTTTCTTTGAGTTCCTGTATGCCTTCATTTAAACCTTCTGGGCTGCTGAGGGCTGTACCCTTTTGATCTTTGATGAAGATTTCTCCTAGTTTTTCTTGTCTGCTTGGGAATCTTGCATTCTTCTCTGCTATTGCAAACGTTCGGACACCAGTCGTTGTTTCTGCTGATATAGGTAGTGCTGTCCGATGTTTCGTACTGTACAGCAATTGTTCGCCGATTTCTTCTATCATGAAACCCCAACCAAGAAGGCATGGTTAGCAGTTATCCGCCGTTATTAAAATGTTTTGGGCGATAACTCCGGACTTTGGTTTCATTTGGATTTTGATGTCGACACTGCCAAGTTTTTGAAACATTGAACTGTTAGCCGCTAACACTTTACTATTAAAAGCCTTTATGCTTCCCGGCTTTCCAAGCCGCTCATACGTGTCAAAACTAACGAACGAAATGCTACTCCCAATTTCCCGTTCAATAGGAAGCCCACACTGAAACATTTCGATTTGTTATTGGAGCACACCCTGGTCACGTTGATTCGTTCCGTCCTTTTATTCTTAGGGCATTTTTGCTTAACGTGGATAGGTTTTCCACCAGTAAAACAATTACTACAGTTCTTTGCCCAATGACCCCTTTGCCCCCATAGTCAACATATGTCATTGTGGTTTTCCCTTCTCGGATTGCCATTTCTTTCTCGCGTTTTTGGTCCTGAGGTTGGAGTTCTTGCTCCATCTCTTGAAACTCGCTCCCTATATCGGTTTCCATTGCGTCGCATTCCTCCCCAGGGTTTGTTGTCTCGTCGACCATGGGTTTGTTTTTATTACCAACCGACATCTTTTGAACTAGTCTGTTCATCGAGTCCGTTAGCATTTCTGTCTGATCCCTCCGTATGGCTGTTATTCGGGGCGTTTTTTCTTTTTCCTCAATTCCAATTACGGCTTCCAGATGAAGTGCACACTCTAAAGCATTCGCCTTGTTCATTTCCTTGTCTCCAATTGTCTTGCGAAGCCGTAGGATTGAGTCTAACTTGGCTGTTGTGGATTCCTTCGAGAAGCACTAGCAGGTGTCTTATGTCCTGAGATTCGTCAAATGCTGTAAATCACCCAGTAAATCTGTTAACTTTCACCTGCCTGCTGCGCGCGACGCTCTAGCCGACCGCGGAAGTCCACCGGTTTTTCAATGTAATGAATTTGAAAAGCTTTAACGGTCTCATCATAGCTGAGAAGGTTAAGTAGCCTCTGGGAGGGTACGGTAAGTAGCCTCTTGAAGCCTTTGGAAGGGTACGGTAAAAGGCGAAATAATGCAAAAAAAATTCTGTTTTTCGTACAGTACGTTTCCAATTTTGCAGTTCGGCTAATAGCTCAAATTGTGTTCAGTAGCTTTCAATATCGTTAGGACCGGTGAATGCCTCCGGCAATATCGTTTTGGATACCGAACTTGCCGTTGCCATACGTTACTATCACCCTGTTTACTTTCTTATCTAGTTTTTCCTGTGGTTGGAGTTTTTCTAGTTCTTACCCGCTGATTTCAGCTTAAAATAATCTTTAATGTCCCTCCAACTACAGTTTATGCGCTTTTTTCAGAGAAATTTGTTATTCACCTCAATTTTCTTCAACCTTCCGTTGAGTTCAGTCCAATTGCTTCTTTAAAAAATTATATGACTATTTGCGACCAAATCAGCAGAAAAAGTTCATGATTGATCGATTTATTGTCGAGTTGTCCTGGTTTTCACTATTAAACCTGAGTTTAACGTGTTTTAACATTTTGTCTGATTTTAATGTTTTCCTGACATGCTCGACCAATTTTGGACCTCTTTCTCGAAACTCATTCGCTCTTCCTGGCTCTTGTTGTTTTCTCTGTCGCCACTGTAGGATCAGCCCAACACTTGCTTTCTAGGAATAAAACTAGGATCGAGTGTAAGTTGAATTAAAAACTTTATGTATCTATAAATGCTTTAACATTCATACTTAAAATTGATCTCGCAGAAATTTGAGATAAATACAGGAATTTGATTTTGGAAAAGTTTGTCAAGGAAGGATTTATTGTACAACTGATTGCTCTAATTGTTCAATTATCATGATGTTCCCGGGTTACCCCGTTCCTATCCTTAATCTGGTATAATATAAATTTAACCTAGATTACGGATGTTCGCACCTTTTGTCAGTTTTATCTGACACTATATAAAGTGAAATTTTCTCTCGCCTGTCAAGTCGTTTGCATGATTGTCAGAGTTAGTTAATGCGTTGAAAGTTCTCAAACATCAAAAATTAGCAATTACTTTTGCCAAAATAGTTCATGTTCTTTACAACTTACTAAAAGAAAACTTTCCCTACATTTTGCAACCCTTTTTTTAAGTACTGCGATTAAAATCCAGATTTTATTTTAGCAAATTAAGTTAAAAAGTCGAAATTTACCGTATATGTTGTTTCCATGAAAACGAATATCAAGGCTTATACTTTCCATGAAGACGATTATCAAGGCTAATTAAAAAAGAGATCAGGCCGCCCCAAAAAAAAAAAAAACGGAAGTGAAGATGATCAAATTATACAATTTGGAAACTAATTGCAGGAAAAAATTACAATCCTTGAGCCATATTTTTCCAGTCTCAAGGTTTACTATGCAACGACGTTTTCAAAAACTTGAATTTCGTTACCGGAAAGCCTCGCAAAACTTTTGCGTCACAACAAAGAGAAAAACGAATATCTTATGCAAATCGTTATTTGAGTTTCGATTGGAGTCGGGTTATGTTTTTGGAGTCGCAAAATAGTTTCGATTGGAGTCGGAAAATGTTTGTGAAATTTAAAAAAAACAGAAAAATTCCGAGCTGTATTTTTTGAGAACGGTCAAGCGGACAGTATGAAACACGAATTTCGATTGATACCCGAATTCAGAGCCGTGGAAATGTGAGAGTATGCCCTTTTTTCTTTTTCTGATTTCTGCTACTTTCTATACGACAATGAACGCCCAGCAGTATACAGAAGAAAATTCACCAATTTTCTGCTTCCTAGTGTGGACATGCTGAACCCACAAGAAGAACGTTTGTTTTTTTTTCAACAAGACAATGCCACATTTCATACGGCAAATGTGACGAAACTTTTTTGACGAGATAAAAAACTCCTCTTCTCGAATGGCCTCCATAGCCCTGATCTAAACCCTATTGAAATGGTGTGGGGACGAAAGAAGAAGAAAATGGCTTTAGCTTCACCAAAAAATCCCGAAGAAGCTGCCCTGAAAGTTCGCAATATTTTGTTTTTTTTTTGCCGGAAGAGTGTGCGCAAAATTTTGCCCTTAGTGTGTCTAGTTGACTTCGGAATGCAATTGCCCGTCGTAGTTTAAGGTTTTGAGCAAAAACTCTGCTTATGAACTTTCGAAGTTATGTTTTTTGCAGTCTTATTTTCCGATGATGTCTAGACAGTCTGGCCAATTCGGTTCACTTGCGACATGAGACGACAAAATCGTGTTACAGCTTAAGCGCTACTACCAAAATACCCTCCGCTCTAGAAAAAAGAACGCCCCCATAGTCAGGTTTCTAAATACCTGAAACACGCGAACGCCCTTAAAAACAGGGTCGGAAAATTAAGTATACCGTTAGTTTCTATTGGACAGTGGAACTTTGATCCATTTCAGATGGATCAATCTAAAAACTCGCCTCACCTCAACGTAATCACATAAAATGCACCCAAGAAATTCAAATTAGCTACTCATATACCGACTTGACTTCTAAAAATTGGTAAATAATAGTCGTATAGCGACTCTAGAATTGATTTAAAGTAATAAAGTTTAACTCGAGAAGTTTTGAGTAAATAAGTTTTAATTCAAGAGGAAATTTTGCTTTTTTGACCATTGGGCAGTTTCAGCTGTCCCCCTTCTGTAATATTCGCCCGGAATACATATCGACGGACTAGTAAAGCTAGGTTCTAAAACGACTGGCTAGCGTCTAAACACAGCTCTACATGCTTTTCACCGTCTCTGCCAAAGCCAGTTCTTTTGGTGGTCTTTGTAACATCGGGTCGACGAGAAAACGTTACTGTTTCCGGCTTCGATCAGAACGCTCTGATTAACTCAATTATATGCAAAATAGTGGGCTCATGGCTGGGTCTCAGTATCCCCAGACCACGAGGTCACTCCTAAAAACAGGGCTACTACTCATTTATATATTACCATTGTTTTTGTTCAGTAGATAAAAATCATCATCTCCATCGAAGATGGATCAACCTTTTCCCTCAACTCCTAGCTTCACATAATCTGAAAACGAATTTGGATGTTATTAATTCAATTCAGGACATTTCCAGGAAGCTAAAAGTTTGTATAAAACAGTTCAAGTTCCAATCCCTAGACCCATCCGGATTCTGGAATCCGGAGAAATATCGCTCTTATTTTTTCTCGGAAGGATGGGCACGTAGTCCCAACACCCTCCCCAGTTCTCGTGAATTGCCTTGTAACGATTTTAGCGGCACAATCGTTACAACTCGGAATGGTTTCTGACAAATTCTAATCAAAATCTCAATCTGCTGGCGTTTTCCGTTGTTGTTGTCACTAAGACTACTGTTGACTACTGTTGTTCCGATTTCGCAGTTTCAGTTGGTTCTAAAACGACTGGCTAGCGTCTAAACACAGCTCTACATGCTTTTCACCGTCTCTGCCAAAACCAGTTCTTTTGGTGGTCTTTCTAACATCCGGTCGACGAAAAAACGTAAGTGTTTCCGGCTTCGATCAGAACGCTCTGATTAACTCAATTATATGCAAAATAGTGAGCTCATGGCTGGGTCTCAGTATCCCCAGACCACGAGGTCACTCCTAAAAACAGTGCTACTACTTATTTATTTTATTACTGTTGTTTTTGTTCAGTAGATTATAATCATCATCTCCATCGAAGATGGATCAACCCTTTCCCTCAACTCCTAGCTTTTCATAATCCTAAAACGAATTTGGGTGCTATTAATTCAATTCAGGACATTTCCAGGAAGCTAAAATTTTTATAAAACAGTTCAAGTTCCTATCCCGAGACCCACCCGGATTCTAGAATCCGGAGAAATGACGCTCTTATTTCTTCTCGGAAGGCTGGGCACGTCGTCTCAACACCCTTCCCTGTTCTCGTGAATTGCCTTGTAACGATTGTAGCGGCACAAATGTTACAATTCGGAAAGTTTTCTGGCAATTTCTAATCACAATCTCAATCTGCTGTCGTTTTTCCGTTGTTGTTGTCACTGAGACTACTGTTGTACTGATTTCGCAGTTTCTGTTGGTGCGAAATAAAATAAAAGTTACGTGTAGTTCACGTCCAATTCGAATTTTTGAAAATTAACACGGAACTCCAAATTGACCCTTCCGAGTTTGTCAAAATGAACGAGTAAGACCTCTAATTGATTAAAACCATGAATCTTCCCGGTCCGATGCATCAAGAAAACTTCGAATTCGAACTTGAGTTTTGACACATTCTGGTCGAATGTCACATACTTCCCGGACAACCCGGTCAATGTCCTCATTGAGTCTCTTACTCCTCATCAAAATGGTACAATGCCGTCGAACAGAATTTACAAAATGAATGAAATCACTTTTATCCACGTCACATCGAGTCACCGCAAAATACAAATGGAATCATTCTACACTATTATAGCCTTCCAAGTTCTTTCACTAATCTAAACTTTCGAGGATATGAATTAAGAGAAAACTTTTTTTCTGACTTCTAATGTCTATTTAAAACTTTTTCTCCTAGGTTTAACAAGTGTTGGGACGCAGGACAGTCCTGCCAAACAACAAACTAAAATTATCCTATTTTGCTTCTTCCCTTCGGAAATTTAGTTGTTTTTGGTCCTGAATGTTAAAATTAAGGAACTCGGTGGTTAGAGGAACAATGAAAATATCTCCCTCTTCAAGAGATTACCCAAGCCTTTCATGTCACCACAAAGTGATCAGTCGTCTTAGTTGATTAAAAACAATCATGCAGGCTGGAATATTTTAATATACACTCCACTCAACCC